AGAAAGGTACATTTTAAATCAGGTCAATAAATGCCTGTAATATTCCCATCCTCATATACGTGACTAAGTTCTGAATCAAGCAGGAATATCTGGAGGAGTATCAACTGAACTGAGATCTGCTGCTGTGAAGATGGTGTTTGTTAAAGAGGAGAGTGAGGAGGACATGAGTGAACCAGAACCCTGGAGAAGAATAAAACACGAGGAACAAGGTTGGTCGTTTCAATTGTCTTAATCTGCAACTGAACTGGCAAAGATTTTTGCTCGTTGATTTTTGTAGCTAATCGGAAAAAACAGAGCGTCTGCGACTCAAATATTCACATTTTTGTGGACAATAGGTTTTGCCTGTTTTACAGAAGTTTTCATGAGGTTTTCCACTAAATAAAAATCCCAAATTCTGGCAAATAAATGTCGATTAAGTAAAAAATATACAATATTTATTTACTTTTTAAAGTAGTGGTTAATTCACCCAAAATGAAATGTTAAATGCTTTTCACAATACTTTTGTATGTCCATTATAAGGAATAAAACAAGTTATTGTATCCAAATAATTTTTAGCTTAAAATAAATAATGTTGTTATAAATCATTTCTATTGCACACTAAGCATTTTGTCCCTGAGGTACTTGACTGAATTTGTACTTAGACGTTATTTAACAAAATATGCACAATATACTTTTTTTTTTTTTTTTTTTTTTTTGCATAAAAAAACACATTTTAGATTTTAGTTTTAAAAATTGTATTTGGATCCATAAGTAAATAAAGTGTACTTGCTTAATCAGTGCTGTCATAGGTCTACACTCTCCTACACTACCTGAGGAGCAGTGACCATTTTTTTCACACACAAAAACAAACCTCAACCATTTTTTTACGCTTCATATCTGAATCATTTTAATATTAATATATAAAATAGTCAGGGTTTCAGTGAAAATCATGACAACATAATTTTGTTATTAAATGGAATATTTGATATACTGCTGCATTGCTTGTCATTATGCATTTTTGTTTTAGCTTCCATCAACAATGACATTTGTTTTCTGGATGCTTTAACTTGAATAAGTTTGCATGGCAAAACTATTTGACAATATCAAACAAACAAAAAAAAGTAGAGAGTTTATATTGACCTCAACCTTATTCATTTTTCCCTCAGAAATTATTACCTTTCTTAAACATTTATATCTTAAAATGATTAATATTCATATAATTTATTATAGCATGTATTTATGATTATCGAAATTTGGAATTATTCATTACAATTTATTTATAATTACAATTACACAAAACATTTGAAATTTGAAGGTAAATTCACAAGTGTGATGCATTAATTATATTTGTTTTAGAGTAACATTTTTTTTTTTAATGGAATATCACCGGCAGAAATGAACTTTCTCATTAAGGCCCAATATTTGACCCCTTCGATTGATTTCCATGGGCTGTATGCACATATCTTCCATACAAAGTTGTGATAATTTTATGAAAAAGTTCATTATAAAATAAATGTCAATTGATATTTATTACTCAGGCAATATATTATACAATAAGTTCATGGCTGTGCAATTATAAACCATATTCATTACATTCAAATTACATTAAATTACATTAAAATTATCACACCTGCTGTATTGGGGCGCATTAGGCTTAGAGAGAGACATGACAAGTGTATTAAACATCCGAGCCGTGGAGTAAAGATAGTATCTAGTATGTTTCATTGTTAAAGTTCATCGTAACTTTTTTTTTTTATGTAAATTAATTCCTTTGGGAAGTAGTCGTGGTATAGTCTTTTAAATAATGTACATTAATTATGTAAGGAACTGCATCACATCTCTGCAGTGCGTCGGGACTGCATCACATAGCTAAATCATTTAAAATGTAGCTGAGGTTTAAGTGTACACTAATCTGGGTTGTTTCGAACCCCTGCAGACAGTCGGTTAGAACTGTATAATGACATCGAAATGTGGTGAAATCACTCGGCAGACACCAAATCTCTTTGAGGATGTTTACTGATTATAATTTCAATTGACAGGTGTGGTTTCTGTAACAAAAATACAGAAATAAACTTAAATAAGTGACTTACATAAATGAACTTTAACAATTGGAAATTATATATTATAAAGCAATGATCTACAGGTATGAATAACAATAAATTTGAGCCTTTAACATGGTAACAAGAAAACCAATTCAACAGAAATACTGTGTAAACCCACAAGATGGCGCTCTCAGCGCATTTATAATGACTGAACATAAAAGGTTCCCACGGACTACTGATCGACCGATATATCGTTTGGCCGATTTTTGCGTTTTTTACATGTATCGGAATCGGCCGATACGCGGCTGCTGTGTTCGCCGATAGTTTTTTTCCCGGCATTATTTATAGACGGGTGTCCTCAGGCAGCTCTGTGCTGCAGGAGACGCTGCAGTTCAAGTGCCCCACCCTCCCCCACTAGCAGAGTGCAACCTGATCTTCAAGATAATGGTAACTTTTAAACTTTCAAAGCATCTTTTAACTGGCTCCTGAAACATTGCCAAACACTTTGAAAACGAAAACATGTTGCGGAAACTGTTATGTGCTTGCAACTATATAGCTAAGCAAGTTTGTGGGTCCAAATGGAACATGCAAATGCTTTGTCTATAAAACTGTTTGCCATTTCTATTAGGGAGCTGCAGATAGCTAAGGTGTAGGCTATCCGTTCAGTATGCATTAGGGCTGTCAATGAATATTCTAAATTTGAATAAATATTCGAATAGTTTATAAAAAAACTGAATTTTGAAGGTGAAATTTAATATTTGAATGTGGAAAAACATGCCCGCGGTAGCAGACTAATAACGTTACCACAGAACAGCTCGCTTGGAGCGCTCGATGTCGGTTCTATATACTGTGAAATTTAAATTAAATTATGTATTTGTTTCAATCACTGAATGAAGCCTGCTATATTTGGGACAAGAGTCGCGACTCGCAACCTTAAATTGCTTGCACAAAACTCTTGACCAGCACTCAACATTGTAGTGCTGTAGACTCGTAGGAGCGAGTGAAAGTAAGAGGGAGCTGAGCCAGTGGTCGATCTGTAAGCAAGAGTCAACGCCTTGAACTTGATGCGAGCAGCGAGTGGCAGCCAGTGCAGGGAGATGAACAGAGGAGTGACGTGGGCCCTTTTGGGCTCGTTGAAGACAAGACGAGCAGCAGCGTTCTGGATCATCTGTTGAGGTTTAGTTGCACATGATGGAAGTCCAGCCAGAAGAGCATTGCAGTAATCAAGCCTAGAAATGACCAGGGCCTGATCTTCCTGATGTTGTGCATTGCGAACCTGCATGATCGAGCTCTTTTGTAATATGGTCTGAGAAGGTTAGCTGGTCATCAAAGATCACTCAAAGATTTCTGACCGACCTTGAAGGGGTGATTGAAGAAGAATCTAGCTGGATAGTGAAGTCATGCTGTAGAGACGGATTGGCAGGGAGGATGAGAGGCTCAGTCTTAGCAAGGTTGAGCTGCAGGTGATGTTCTTTCATCCATGCCGAGATGTCCGCCAGACAGCTTGAGATTCGTGCAGCTACTTTGGGATCATCTGGTTGAAATGAAAGGTAGATCTGGTTGTCATCAGCATAGCAATGGTAAGAGAAACCATGTGCCTGTATGATGGGTCCCAGTGATGTGGTGTAAATGCAGAAGAGGAGCGGTCCAAGCACTGAACCCTGGGGAACTCCTGTGGTCAGTTGATGTGCTTTGGATACCTCGCCTCTCCATGTGACCCTGAAGGACCTACCTGTGCGATAGGACTCAAACCAGTGGAGGGAAGTTCCAGTCATGCCAAGTGATTAGAGGGTGGACAGAAGGATCTGATGATTCACCGTGTCGAAGGCAGCAGACAACTGATGATTTGGAAGCAGCTTTAGCGATCCACAGGGCTTCGGTGACCGACAGCAATGCAATCTCGGTTGAGTGCACTTTCTTGAAGCCTGATTGGTTGACATCCAGCTACTTGGTTGAAAGCAACACATTCAAGTGTTTTTCCAATGAACGGTAGGAGAGAGACAGGTCTGTAATTCTCTAAGAGAGATGTGTTTAGCGTTGATTTTTGTTAAGCAGTGGAGTTACCCGAGCCTGTTTAAATGCTGTAGGGAAAATGCCAGTTTGTAGGGAAGAGTTGATAATGTGTGTGAGTCGGTAGAATTGTGGGAGAGATTGCTTGTAGAAGGTGTGAGGGGATGGGGTCTAGAGATGACTGGAGAGGTGGGATGACTAATTTAGACACTTCGTCCTTGGTCATCGGCTAAAGCTGATGGGGAAAAAATCTGTATCGGTATCGGCACTAAAAAGATCCATATCGGTCGATCCCTACTACAGACTCACAAGAAAGGCCCAAGGCCCTTATCGTAATTTGCAATCTCTTCATTTTTTCCCTCTCCTGGTGGATAGGTTCTTTTTTATTGTCTCTTGACTCTTCCATATACATCGATTGCCGTTTACCCTGCTAGTCATAAATTTGCAAAGAGTTCAGAGCTCATGAGTAAATCTTTGTTGAAGGGGGGAATTAGTGTGTTAGCATAGAAACTGATGGAATCATGCTGTAAATGCATGATCACAATATATGTTAATAAATTCACCGAACTGAGTTGAAATAGTTGTGAGCTATTGGACCCGCAGTCCGCCCATGCCTACCTCTCGTCCGATCCGCACCGCATCCGACACGTAATTAGTATGGGGGTCACCCATGTGCAGGACTCTTTGCATAGTCTGCAATGTCAAAATGATCACAGTTTGTAGAAACGGTGACATCATGCGCATGTGTGTTACTTCTTCAGTCTATAGGTACGTAGTGTTTCTTTACAAAGTGACATCACCAACTACTGGTGTTTTGACAATGTTGTCATCTGTCCACAATTTTTTTTTTAATGCGAAGGAAAAACGTTTAAATATTTAGTCCATCGCTGTCGTATAAACACACCCTAATTTACTTTTATTTTACAATTGTCCCAATTGATTTTCATAATTTTTATGTTTTTATTTTAGGCCTGATAAAAGTGAAAGAGGAAAGACTAGATCTGAATGAAGTGGAGGAGAAACATCATCAGAAAGTTCATGATGTCACCGCTGGAGAGAAACCATTGAGTTGCTCCAAAACTGAAAACAGTTGCTCACAAAGCAGCGTCCAAATAACAGAAGAGAAAAAGCCTTTCACATGTTCTCAGTGTGGAAACACTTTCTCACGTAAAGAAAGTCTGAAGAAGCACATGTTAATTCATGGTGGAATAAAGCCTTTCAGCTGTTCTGAGTGTGGCAAGAGTTTCACACATAGATCATACCTTAATGAGCATTTGTTTAATCACACTTCAGAAAAACCTTTTACCTGTTCTCAGTGTGGAAAGACGTTTATCCGTAAAGGAAGCCTGACGAAGCACATGTTAATTCATGATGGAATAAAGCCTTTCTCCTGCTCTCAGTGTGGAATGAGTTTTACACAGAAAACACACCTTACTTATCATCTGGTAACTCACACTTCAGAAAAGCCTTTCACTTGCCCTCAGTGTGGAAAGACTTTCACACGTAAAGGAACCCTGACGAATCACATGTTAATTCATGATGGAATCAAGCCTTTCTCCTGCTCTCAGTGTCAAAGCTCTTTCATATGTGAAGGACGTTTGAAGAAGCACATGTTAATTCATGCTGGAATAAAGCCTTTCAGCTGCTCTCAGTGTGGAAAGAGTTTCACACAGAACTCACACCTTAATGAGCATTTGTTAATTCACACTTCAGAAAAGCCGTTCACTTGCTCTCAGTGTGGAAAGACCTTCATACGTAAAGGAAGCCTGAAGATCCACATGAGAATTCATGCTGGAATAAAGCCTTTCAGCTGCTCTCAGTGTGGAAAGGGTTTCAAACAGAAATCACACCTTAATGAGCATTTGGTAACTCACATTTCAGAAAAGCCATTCGCTTGCCCTCAGTGTGGAAACACTTTTATACGTAAAGGAAGCCTGAAGAAGCACATGCTAATTCATGATGCAATAAAGCCTATCACCTGCTCTCAATGTGGAAAGACTTTCATACATAAAGAAAGTCTGAAGAAGCACATGCTAATTCATGATGGAATAAAGCCATTCACCTGCTCTCAGTGTGGAAAGAGTTTCACACAGAAAGGACATCTTAAGGATCATCTGGTAACTCACTCTTCAGAAAAGCCTTTCACTTGCCCTCAGTGTGGAAAGACTTTTACACGTAAAGGATACTTTAAGACTCACATGTTAATTCATGCTGGAATCAAGCCTTTCACCTGCTCTGAGTGTGGAATTAATTTCAAATGTAAAGGAAACCTGAAGAATCACATGTTAGTTCATTCTTGAAAAAAGCCATTCACCTGCTCTCCTGCCCCATCCACACTACTGCGTTTTCGTTTAAAAACGGAGAATTAAAACGAATACGATCTCCATCCAAACCAGCTTTTTATCTGCGTATTAGAATTAATCTCGGTACACTTTAAAACGACTGAAAACGCGGATCACGTGACCATTCACCAACACTGGGCATGCGTGTGCTGTTATAAACGGTGGCTGACAAATCAGGGAAGGACACGTCATGTCACGTCACGTCTCTGTTTTTTAACGAAAACGCAGTAGTGTGGGCGGGGCCTCAGTGTAAGTAGTTTCACCTGTAAAAAACCATTTAATATTCATGTGAGAATTCATGTGAGAGGTTTATCTTTTTATAAAAACTTTTTTTGTCAACTTTATTTGAATTTAATTTTACTGTATGTGCCTATAGGGGTGGGCCGGGGATGGCAGGGGTTGGTGGCAATGTAAGTAAATGGATATTTGCCACGGGGAGAGGGCTTCGATTACCCCTCTACATGTGTTAGCCTTCATAATAAAACCAAATATTGTTTCAAAACCGCTTTACAGTGATTATAGGAAATTGAAATAACAAAGATTGTTTTGGCTTTACAGCAGCT